CCAATTACTTGGATGATTCCTAAACCCAATGATCCGATTGTCCAAATCAAATATGACTTAAAAACACTGATATCACACAATATGTATCAATACATTATGGTATTTTGAATTTCGGGTATTGTGTGTGTGGTTGAGACAACATAGGATGCAGTAAGATATACTGGCTATACCACCATAAAAAGCTTGCAGTTTTTAAGATCAGCTTCAGTACTCACACCGTTTATACAGCCTTTTACACCATACATCGAAAATATCTCCATACTTATAATGAGATATTTTCAATATAAGGCCACAAGGGACTGCGAAAGATGTGAGTAGTGAAGCAGATGTCGCAATTATTGGGTTTATTCTTGTGATTCCGCTTTGAAGTGATGTGGAGTGGCTATTTCATCTAAGGGTGTCAATGGATCGGTTTTGGATTGGACCCCATTCAGTCCAAAATCAATTTGGATGGATTAGACGGACCAACAAGACATTGGATTGGATCAATTTGGTCTAAAATATTTATTAGATTGGATTGGACCTGGTCCGTCTATAATAAATTTATATTAGATTGGGTTGGATTAAGCCAATATTTGATCCATTGAAACAAGATATGTGTGTCAATGAACTGGGTTTGGGTTGAAATTAATCTAAATCAAAATGAATTTGAATAGATTAGACAATCCATACATTAAATTGAACCAATCCAAATTGCTCCAAAACATTCATTAAATTGGATTAGATGTAATCCATTTATAATGGACTCACATTGAACTGGATCAGATTGGACCAAATCCAGTCCAATTGACACCCCTATTTTCATCAACTAGTAAGTCATGATCACGAAGAACTCTTTCGATAACAACAACAATAATGGCAGAAGAAAGGTTGCATGGAATGATGTTGAATGAAAGACAAAGAATGCAGAGTTGGTTACATGTAATAAAACAAACTAATTACAAGTTTAAAAGAAGAGGAAATTATTGGGCTGGCACTCACCTAGTGCATCCAACCATGATACTTTGTTGAATAAGGATTTTTTGGGTTTTGACCAATTTTAGAAGATAGGCGCAGGCCCAAGACCGACCCCCTTGACTAATAGTTTTTGAAGAAAAAAAGATTAAAAAGAAATATGTGTGGTAAATAACACTCGATACACCCCCATCCAATATATTAGGGTACATCGATATTTTGAACCTATGGATTCGGTTTGGGTTTAATTTGACCTTAATTAGATTTTGACTTTGAGATGCATTATCTAAATCCAATTCAACTGTTTTAAGGGGGTGTTTTTTTTTTGGATTTTGAGAGAAAAAAAGTTGATCAATGAGATTTTGGTTTTCATTGGCCAAGAATCTTATGTTCATTTTTTAGTTTTAAAAGGAGACCAAGGAAAGTTTATTTTTCTAGGTATCGCTTACTCAAGAAAGTGATACCCATCTCCTAGATGGATAAATAACTTTCCCACATTAAGGGAAAATTGCCAATACTTGAATGGTTTGAAAATGCCGCTTTTAATAATGGATTTTTATGGCTAAAATGGTCATTGCCTTGTTTACTTGGGAAATAAAAGAACATGGGTAAATGGACTTACTCAGATAAGTGTTTTTCAGGAAAAACTTATTCAGGTAATTGCATTTACCCAAATAAATAATTTATCGAAAAATGAACAGGGCTTAAAAGGGAATTATTGAACCTAAATTGTACCATCATATACATAATATATCAAGGTTTTTAAAATTGGACCGGAGAGGGAACCGTTTCCTAGGTCGAATGATCTAACTCCAACCATTCAGTTTGAACGAATGGCCTGTTCTGACTTAAAAAATAAAAAAAGTGCCAAAAACCATTGTCCAAATTGACGGTTTGATCACTCAAATCTACGATTCCCTGACCAAATCAATGATTTTTTGCCAAAAAGCAATTTTAAAATAAAGCAGATAACTGGTTCCTGATTTTCAAGTCCAACCATTCGGTCCAGTCTGATTTTAAAAACCATGTAACATATTAATATCTATACGCAAACCCGATGGGGTGAATAATACCTAAATATTTGAAATGCTGCGATGCCGTCACCTAAACCCAAACCCGACCCGAAACCCTATAGGTAGGGTCAATGAGGGTTCACCAATTAACCCGACCTACTGACATCCCCAGTGGTCCACGATCACTTATGGGATAGACCTTTGTTTTTGTACCCACCTAGATTCCCTTAACTAATATGTGGGTTCAGAATTTGTAATTTATAATAAATTCTCCATCAATTATTGAGTTTAGAGTTACAGACATGTTGATTGTTGAGGACCATTCTCCGACAAACCGGCGTGTGCAGTGCCCATGAGAGCGTGGGGGGAGGTTGGGAATGTCCACCTCCGAACTCCTTACCCACAACCTCCAGGAGCCAGCCGGGTCCCAGGAATAGGCTTTGTTGACTCAAAAAGCTAACATGATCCAATTATCCAATGCCCACAGCCATCGACCAGAGTCGGTGTTTTCAAAACTGTTCGGCCTGGGAATCATCCAAATAACAATTTTCGCTCTCGATCCATTTAACAGTTTTGGCTGTTTTTTATTTAAAATATTTTTTAATTTTTAATTTGTTTATGTTAAAATAGATTATTCATCCAAATCGGGCAGTCAAACCGTCAACCTAGAAATCGCTTCTACTTTTATTATCTTCCTTCGCCTTTCTTTCAACTCGAATGAAACCAAACCGATCCAATTAAATTTCGATATAAGAAATTAGACCATTTGGTTAGTGGTTAACGGTTAGTCACTTGTGCTAACTCAATTTTATTTTTAAATATTATTTTATAATATTTATTAAGAAGCTAAAAGGAAAATAATATAAATAGTTGCCTCATAAGTCACAACCCATGACCCAAAGATAATAAAACCCAGGATTCTCTCTCATCCTCTCCTCTCTCAATCTCTCTCCTGCCATTCCTTCCTCCAAATCCCCATGACTACAATAACAATCAAAAGGGGTGGTAGTGTCAAATCCATGAGGAAGATGTTAAAAATAATTCAAAGATGAACAAGAGATGCGCCCATCTTTTATGACAAATTTGAAAGAATAGATATTTCTCTAATATTTTGGTTTCCCTTCAATTAATATTTGATATAACTATAAAGGCCTTTGCAATGAATTGGTAATGGACTCAAATCCAAAAAGGGAAAAAAAAATTGGAAGAATATAACTTGGACCCCTCCAGATGAGAGGTGGATAAAGATAAATTTTGATGCGCCCCTTAGAAGCAATGGATTGTGCTCGGTAACTACAGTTGCAAGAAACCAAGGAACCATTTTGGAGAAATTGCCGATTTCAAAGGATATGCATTGGGTGTTTCATCTATAAAGAATGCAGAGGCTTAGGCAGCTTGGGAGGCTCACAACCTAGCATTTAACTTCAGAGATTCGAAAGTGATTATTGAAGAGGATTCAAAATTGGTCATCTTGTATTTAAAAAACCGAACCTCTCATTGGAACCTAAAGAATATCATTCAAGATTGTTTGTGGATCAAAGAACTGCTGGAGGAAAGGATGAGCTACAGACATGTCTTCAAAGAAGCAAATTAAGTTGCGGATTGAATGGCTAACGAGGCTCAGGCTAGTTTAAGTTGTTTATTTTTCAATCTTTGTAATCTTCAGATGCTTTAATGTCTATTTGTAAGGGTGACTTGTGGGAACGTGCTACCCCCAAACTTATGTAGCACCTTTTTAAACCATCAAAAAAATATTTCTATTACATATTTAATATTATTGGGTCGAGTTCAGGCTTGGGCTCGGACACGGGCTAAACTTATTTGAAAAAACCCGAACTCAATCCAAAAAATAGTCAGACCCAATTTTTAGAATCCAAACCCAAACCAACGGATTTAAAAATTTTATCTAAACCCAATTTATCTATGGTGATCCAGACTTCCCATTTCCACGCAACCGGTTAACTCTAACCAAGGGCGCCCTGTGTCCTTTTATCGAAAATAGGATATACCCGAATTAGTGTTAGGTCCACATTATTATTTGCCAGCCATTTCCACCCCGGACCTACTTCAAAAACAGTAGTAATAAATAACTGGACCCGTTCGTGTACCAGCACCAGACCAGCCCGCGACCTTTTTTGTGGCGGTCCAAACCCGCCTCTTGTCGGCCTTGTAGTCTTGTACAGTTCGGACCGCCCCCAGACCCAGCCGCTCGCAGGTTTGTAAAACACCTTTACGGCTACGAAACTGGCGTCTCTCTCTCTCTCTCTCCGCCCATGGGAATGTTCTAGGAATCCGGTCTCCAGAGAATTCCACTCTATCCTTTCTAATGACCGAAGTGCCCCCAAAATTAAAACAATTACCAGCCAACTGTTTCCAGAATTAGGACTTCAATTCTCACAATCAGCGGGATGTTTCTGTCAACCCAAAAAGAGGAGGCAAAACCACTAGTTTGGGCTATGTAATCATAGATTAGTCGGTTAATCTTGTTTAATTAACACTAGTCCAAAAATCTAATATTGTTTATATAAGTAGGTAGGGGGGCAGCCGGACGGACAGGTTGGTCCCACCCCGATTGGATAAAATCAAGGTATCCACGTCCGTGGATAAGGCCACGTGGCCTCCGCGTCAGATACTGCAGCTGGCATCTCATCATTCGGTTCATTTGACTGGTGGCCCCACACGCCCCAAAGATTAGGATAAGCTACAACGCTTTTAGCATTTATTTATTGGTCGTAGCACACTTTTTTTTTAAATAAAAGAAAAAGAAATTTAAAATAAAAAAAAGCATATGATATTCGAGTCGTATAGATCCGGATAATATTTGGAAGCTCTAATAATTGGATCAGACTGACGTGGATCCCAGCTGTTTATTCAACCACCCACCGAAACCACTGCTTTGTTCTAATACACATTTCCAATGACAATTTTCCACGTGGACTAAGCCCTGGACCACATATTCGCGGCGCACCGTTCGCCCACGTTGGCTGATGGGTCCCGCCCTTAGCCAAGATCTAGCTATATAAGACAAGCAGCATAATCACTAAGCAGTGGCATTTCACCGCTTCTAGTGCACGTGAACTTTTCGGGAAACAGATTCCACTTTCCAGAACACAGACCTAGAGTCTAGAGAGTGCAGAGGGGCCATGGCCGGAGCGATGGCGAGAATACCAGTGTTTCACCGGAGTTTTCAGTCTAGTGAAGGCGAGGCTGAATTGTTCGGCGGAAAGCCGAGCATGCCTGATATGTTTTTCGGATTTCTAGACGAAGGCGAAGAGTCGCCGGAGAGATGTTTCGATAATGGCGGTGGGCAAAACCAAGATGGAGTTGACTTCCTCGTCAACGAAGAGGAAGAGGAGGAGGAGGAGAATACTAACAGTGCCGAGCAGACCAAAGCTTTCTGGGAGAAGCAGCACCAGCTTGTGCACGTAAGTTGCATACTTGTCTTTCTCTTGAACCGTCGTCAGATCTCTGTAGACCAGTAGTTTCGAGATCTCGAAGGGATAAACGTGTGCACCGCCCGATTAATCGGGATGTTTTTGGGCCACAGCGCCCTGGATATTTCGGTTTCCAGGGTATGCAATGATTATCTGAATTTTGGGCTATAGTCAACTGGGCCCCCATTTGGGGACTCAATGTCACATCTTTCGAGGGAGGGAAGGATATCTATTGTGTCTAGTCTTTTCTGTTTTCTTCATGAGGGTATTATTGTCATTACACGTTTGACGATAATCGCAGCGACGAGAATGCTAACCGGAAAATTCACCAAATTTCAGGCAACGTTGTCCAGGACTAGTTCTCTGGAATCAAAGATCAGACAAGCCACCAAAGAGGCCCTAAGAGAATCCCAGTTGAAAGGAAATATTTGCGTTTGCCGGAGGCCGGTAACCGGAGGTTGCCGGAGTTGCTTGCAGCGAGAAGTTTCGGACCATCTTCGCAAGGCCGGTTACGACTGTGCCATATGCAAGTCCAAGTGGAGGAGCTCTCCAGACATCCCATCAGGTATGCAAGATTCCTACTTCCGTCTCCGAAATTATGGAACTTGATGATTTTAAGCGAAGTTTGATCTAATTGAAGAACTGTGACTCACTCTATTTTTACCTTGTTGCAGGAGAACACACCTACCTGGATGTGCTGGAGAAAAGTCCTAAGAAGGGGGAGGTGAGAGTGGTGATTGAATTGAATTTCCGGGCTGAGTTCGAGGTGGCAAGAGCAAAGGATGAATACAACCGGTTAATCAACCGGCTTCCCGAAGTTTTCGTTGGAAAGGCTGAAAGGCTAAGAACCCTAATCAAGATCTTGTGTTCTGCTGCTAAGGAATGCTTGAAAGAAAACAAGATGCACATGGCCCCTTGGAGGAAGCACAAGTACATGCAAGCCAAGTGGTTCGGACCGTGCGAACGAACCACGCCGGCTCCATTGTTTCCGGTGGGATTTTCTGACCGGCCGGCAAAGCCAAGAGCGTCGATGCTAACGTTCGACTTGCTAGAGAAATTGCCAAACCTACATTGTACAGCGGTTGAAGTTGTGTGATTCAAAGATCAAAACTCAGTTTTGTTTCCTTTCTTACTTGTATCACTTTGAAGCTTACAGTATATTCTCCTCTGTAAATTTCGAAGAGAATAAAAATATATATAGAAGGATAAAAGAATTATTAATCACAGAAACAAGATTTGTTTGTTTGCCGCCTTTTTTTCTTCCTTGTAATACAGAGTTTTGTTGTTTGAGATTGGTGTTATAATCAAATACAGATGATTTCGGAAGAAAGTGACCTGTGACATCTGTTTACTCCGAAACATTGAATGGTAGTTTTGTTCTTGTAGCATATTCTTCTGGCAAATATTTAAATATTAAACGTTGTATATTTATGTGAAGCAGCGGGAATTTTCAGAACTTGGCCACTTTATTAATTTGTGTTAAAATTTTAAGATGATTAGTTGAGTGCAAACTATCATGAAAAAGAGGAATTAGTACCAAAGAAGTCGGATCAACCACAAAAATAGAGAGAGGATATTGGTCCTCTGTAATTGTGTAGTAAATTACAGACTATTCTTCTTGAGCAAAGTAGAGGATATATTCCTATTTTGCAGGAATTCATTAATTCTTGAAATCGAAAAGGTTAAAGGCTGACTGTCGGATCACCTGCCCACCATAACTCTGCCCACTTCTACTCACAATACATTGTCTCCCTGAATCGGAAACATCTCCATGTGTCACTGCAATATTATGTGGGTAGACGTGCGCAGAGTCTGTGTGGGCAGGAGATATAGATTCAAGCGTAAGCCTCAAATATAGTTACGACTTACGCCCAATCCCAAAGTTAATTAGTTAAGGCGAGGCTTTGGCCCAGGGCAAAAGCTCGAATTGGGCCCCCACCAAATTGCAACCCACATTATATAAATAAACATGTATTCAACTATGCATGTTTGTATGTAGGTGTGAATGCATGTGCATCAACACTTTCAACTTTAAAGACTAGGGTATTTTAGTAGAGATGTTTCCAAAATGCAGTCGCAATCCGGACACATTTTGGAGTTATTTAACCCTAGGGCTGTAATCGGATCGGATCAAATTATACATGTATGATAAATGCATATAACTATCAAATATTAATGTGTTGGTAATAAATTTTATATAACTGTATATAATATTTGTGTATATACACAATTTATGCTAATTATATAAAATAATAAATTTTAATTAAATTAGATGGGGTTAAATCTACATCCAATATGATTATTAATCAGATGCAAGTTCCAACATTTAAATTTAGTGTCGAATCGGGTATTAGACTTTCAAAGTCCATTGACAGCCTTAATTAACTCTAATTAATTCATCCTAAATCAAATCAATTGATGGTGACTGACTTGATAAATTCTCAAACTAATTATAGTGGAGACTTGAGATAAAATCCCACTGTCACTAGGGTTGCGGATTGGGGGATGGGCTACGGCTACCACCACCACCACCAAATTTTTTGAAGTGAATAAATTAGAATACTCCAGTCTCCAGCCCCAAACCAATCGATGGCATTGGTTTGGGTTAGGTTAGAGTTGAGAGTTCAAGTTAGGGTTGACTTCAATCTAACCTAACCCCATCAAACTTATACCTCTACTTCGAAACTTTATGCACCCCTTTAAAGCTTGGCGCTGGAGAATATATTTAATTGAAGGGTTGAAGAGTCATATAAACAAGTTTGTACGATTTTATTTTTGTATTAATTTTCTTATTGTGAATCTTAAATTTGAATAGGTCGGTTCAACAACTGTACTTTTAGCATTTTATTTCATTATGAAATCTGGTGAGTAAATGGTGGGTTCGCATGTTCATGCAAATGACTGTTGTCAATATACCATATTTTGCACGTGTTATGCAAAATTTGAAATGTTAGGAGAAGAAGTTTAGAAAGAAAGAACACAATAGCATACTTAAATAAATGAGCCACCTAAGCTAGCATATTTAGGGCTTCGTGCGGTCTTTTGGTTGTTTACAAGTTGGGAAAATCGAAAATTGGTCTATTCCCATTTAGCATGTGGAAGATCTAGCCACCAAAACATGGGGCGCCGAAAAGACACGAGAAGCCCATTTTGGGCTGATTTCAGGAAGCTCCAAATGAAGCTTCTCGCATCTTTTGCGTTTTAATCTCGCATTGAAAGACTCAAAATGATGCATGAAAAGATGCATATCTGCCAAACGGTCTTCGGGCTGCCCAGATCTTTTGTCAAAAGCTCAATGCATCTTTTGACTATGAGAGCTACAAGAAGATTTTCTTAAAAAGACTTGCCAAACGGGCCCTTATTTATTTGTTAGAATGATTTCTTACTGTTTGTTGATTCATCATCTAATCTTTGTCCCATCTATATGGGTTGGGACAATGTTATGTTGATTGTGAACTTCTGAATCCAATGTTTTAAAAACCGACCTTGAACCGGAACCATTTTGGCCATCAGTTCGAGTCAATAGTTTGATTGTTTGGTTCAAATGGATGGTCCATTTTGATAAAGAAATTTAAAATTTTAAAATAATAATTAAAATAAAAAATGGCTAAAAACCATTAAACGAGTTGATGGTTCGACCGTGGGGTCAATGGGTCATTGACCAATTCAATGTTTTTTTGTCAAGGACTGGGTTTGGGATAAAATGGAACCGATTGACTAGATGGTTTCTAGTCCAAATGGTCTGACCATCCAGGTCAACAACGGTTCAAAAACATTGGCTGAATCTTAAAATTGAATTAGTCAATACAAACGTGTGCAATTTTTTGTATTCAACAAATGTTCTTTACTTCTTAATGGTGGTTTTCTTTCCTTTAAAAAAGGGGGTAAAAGACTTAAACCTCCCCTTTATTTTCATGGACTAACAATTCCTTTGTTGGGTGACGTCATAGGACAAAAACCGTCATAATTGGACCACCCTCACCTCTATCACTCTATGCATCACAATTGACTCTTTATAGGCCGATTTAATTGTGAACACACTCTTTGGGTCCGATATCCATATCAATTTATCCTTCCTTGGGTCGGAACTCGGAAGGCAAGAAAATAGATCTAATGCTGTTCCATATACTGGTAGGGACTAAGTTGTGAATCAAATTCTCCTCTCAAACATTTCTATCATGGTTGATTACATTACTCACAAGCAGCTCATTGATATTATTTGTTTCACCTAAAAGCTCTCTATTCTTTGTTTCAATTGGGGTCGAGTCAACCCATTATACTTTCAGAACCATTTTTAACAATTCATCCCACATCCCTCTTGAGCAAATTTCTCGAATTTAAAATTCCCCTCCAAGTCTAAGAGATTCCATTCTTAGGAATGACACTCCATCAATTTTTCTTTCTTAGGTATTTTTGGGTCACCACTTGTATCCACAAATTTTGTCTTTCATTTAAAATTTTCCATCCAAGCTTTGCTAAACAAGCCTCATTAACCTAGTGAAGATTCTTAAGACTTAGTCCCCCTACCTCTTGGGTAGAACACTCTATCCCAACTCAATAAATGTAAAGCCCTTTTACCATTACCCTTAGGCCAAAGAAAATCTTTTTAGCACTTGTCAATGTCATCAATCACATTATTTGGAATTTTAAACAATTGTATGACAAATTGAGACATAGAACTGATTGTTGAATTAAGAAGAGTAATTCTACCAACAATAGACAATGTCTTTTTCTTTCTGCTAGTGAACTTATTGTTAATTCTATCTCTAATATCATTGAAACTATTTTTTTTTGACATTGCCATTTAAAATAGGAGCTCCTAAATAAGCGGCATCTTTTTTCTCTTATGCTATGTTTGGTTTGTTTGAAGGATAAAGTAGGGAAATGAAGGGAAATATAGGAAAATCTATACAAGGTTTGTAAAGGTTTTCCGACCTTTCCCTTCCTTTCCCTACTCTTTCCTTCAAACCAAACACAACCTTTAGGATTTCTCATCATTCTAGCCTTAATTCTTTGGAGCATGGCAGGAATGTTATTTGAAAATTTTAGAGAAGACTTGGCAAAATTAGGGCTCTAACATGAGGCTTTAGCAAAATTCATAAGAACCTCTTTAATTTTCACATAGGTTGGGATAGTAGATTTTGCAAAGATATAATCATTTGCAAATTGCGGAATTGGAATGCAAGGCCCACCCTTTGATGCTCTGCAACTAGTAGGGATTTTGGGTTTGTTAGCTTTCTCCATTAAGTTCTTAGTCAAGGCTCCAGCACATAAGACAAAAATGTAAGGAGAGAGAGGATCTCCTTGTCTAATACCCTTTGTTGGTTTAAATTTCCTTGATATGGTCCCATTAATCAGAATTTTGTATGAGATTGATTTGATGCAAGTCATGACCTAGTCAACCCATTTTTTGTAAAAGCCAAATTTGTTGAAGACTTTCTCTATGAATTCCCATTCAAGTCTGTCATAAGTCTTTTTCATATCAACCTTATAAGCTATAAAGCCTGATCTCCCTTTTTTCTTTTCCACCATATGAATCATTTCATGAGCGATCAGAATATTGTCATTAATTTTTCTATTTGAGACAAATACACTTTGAAAAGGGGAGATAATGGAGTGAAGGAAAGACTAATTTAAAGAATGAAAATGAAAAAGATGGGGCATGATTATTTTTCATGCTACAAGCTACCTCAATTTTTGTGCTATGTGCTTATTTTTCATTTTGAAAGGAATGAGGTTCATGTCAATAATTTTATAACCAAACTCTCTAATATTGCTCATTCTAACCAATTCTTGCCCAAAATGAACAAGAATTGAAGAATGAGGCCTAGAACAGCAAACCAAACATGACCTTTATATATTTTTAACAAGGATGTATTTAAGTTTTCTACTTGATTATGTGAGAGCACATATTAGAATTTTATGAACTTGTTGAAGAGCTTTACGGTTATTTAGTTATTTCAATTGTGTGTTGCATTCACTAATGAATAGGGAATTAATATAATTTGAGGAGAACTTGAATTTAGAAAATTGGGTCACTTTCTATGTACCTGTTGATGGAAAGAGAAGAATAAACAATAGCAGTTGAGGGTATTCCTTGTGTACAATATTTATTAAATTCTTTTTGAATTATAGAATGATTTCAAGCTTCTATATATTCTTGATTAATCATTTCGATTTGGACCTTTCTCTATAGCATCTAGCTTTTACATGTTCCATAACTTGAAATTATGCATACATTCAACATACATAACTTTAGCATATTAGTAGTTCAACTAATTGGTGTTTTTCCCCACAATTAGAAGTTAAAGAAAAATTTCCATGACTTTGTGAGCATTATATAACCAAAATCATCACAAATCGATGCCTCAACATTAGTAAATTTGCAAAGTGGCTTTGGGCTTTTGCAGCTCTGCACAAATTCAGGTTACAACTTACAACATGATCATCAAAAGTATTCAGTTGGATTTCAGGGAAGCTAATAGTTGTAGACAGGGGTGGCAATCTTTCATGCAACCCGCTGAATCCACCCAACCCGCCCAACCCACTTAATCCACTCATTTATTTGGTGGGTTGAAAATGGGATGATCACCCATTGGATCAATTTAAATGGGTTGGGTTGGGTTGTGGATAATCATTGGGTTAACCATTAAAGACATAAGTATTAATTCTTTAGCCATTTTTTTAAATTTTCTTCATTTGAATGAAATAATTTATAATTAATGCATTATTTTTCTATTAATTGTTGACTAAAATTAGTTGTCTCGAATCAACACACTTCATCCAAATCGACATAAATCCAAATCAATTTGACCCGAGTCCATACTAGCTCAAGTGCTCAACTTGGTCTAAATATGAATAGGCTCGATCACCTTGGGTCGGTCAGCCTAGTCTGAACCCGACCTAGGACAGACTGATCCAGATCGATTCGAATCCGAAACGGGGTTGTCCGATCCGAACCCAAAATCTACTCCACTTGCTTTGCCCAGTTTGGGTCGTCCAGTCTAGCTTTGTACCTGCACAACCGACCTGAATCCAAACCAGTCCGATTTACTTCTCTTGACCCGCTTCAGGCCAATCGGTTTGGTCCCAAACCTGTGTACAAACCTGATATGGGCTGGTCCAAGTCAATCTGCCATTAATTGAACCAGTTTGGTCTGGTTTGATTGGATTGATATGGATCTAAACGGTTCAACCACTCTTGATGTGATTAGCTCGAAGACAATCCAATTAGATAGTTCAAATTGGTCTAACCAGTTTGAATCTAAGTGGTTCGGTAAAACCCGAACATAGTTAGATGGCTTCACCACTTGTGTAAATATAATATGCATGTAATGAGATTTGAACCTTCATCACTTATATAAATAACAAATATTATTCCCACCAAGCTATAACCAACTTATTTGTCAAGAGGGAGTTAGTTTTTTGTTTTAAGTACATAAATATAAGACTAATGGGTTTGGATGGGTTGGATTGGGTTAAAGTGGGTTTGGGTTGAACCCAACAAATTTAATTTTATATAACTAGGTCAATGGGTTGGCGGGTTAGATTGCTACCGCCCATTTGCTACCGCTAGTTGTAGACCAAAGGGGCCAAAGCAACTATGTAATGATCAAGGATGTTATTAACACGTCTCTTGACTCTCATCCTTATACTAAAAAGGATTCTTAGTTAAGGATTCCATACAGTAGCAAATCCACTGCAATCTTCCAAACCATGGATAACTGATTCTTAGTTAAGACATCAATGTATTGGATCCTCTGGCACCATTAGAAATCGATCTAGGAAAACTGATGCCATGATGAACAATACAGGAAATTAATAATGAAGGGTACACGGATCTTAAATCCAGAGAGAGACTATCTGAATTTCTGGTGCTTTTTCTTCATCACTGATTAATCCTGAAAAACAAAGTATTTATGGATATTGGTAGATGAATATTTGCTGGGGCAACAACCTAAGGCCTCACAATATATGTCATGGGTTCATTATAGCTATAAGTTTCTCACCACATGACAGATCAGGAAGAATTGGCCATCATTGGAAGCTCTTCAGTTGATTACAATTAACAATTGGTGGATGGTGAATCTGGCCAACTGCAATTACAATTGTTTCTACATTCTCTATTTACACTGGTTTTGAGCAAACTGAGGGGACAAAACTAACCTAACCATGAGATCTGCAAGCCTGTCTGAACCTGGTCCTGGTTTAAGATGGTATGGATCACCCACCTCGGAGCAAGGAGGGTTGCCGGAGCACCAACCACCAGGCGTGAAGCTTGTGTTTTTCCGGCCAAGGAGTTCGACATCAATCTTATCCAAGACAGGGTCATCTTGTTTGAATTTTCTAGCAAAGGGGGCATTGCTTTCAATCATCTTGCTTGTGTGGTTAACATCAAGGGTGAGAGGATGCTGTTTTGGGGGAATGTCCCATGCTATGTAGTGCATATCATGGTTGACAGTAGTATTTGCAAACTCTGGCACATTGCAGATGACTGTTTGGAAGTACCCTTCAGGAGAAGAGATGAAGTTGGTGTAGTACATGAGGAGGATTCTTGGCAAATTATCCCAGCCCCATATGCAGTACTGTACAAATGAACGCGATAGAACCATCCATGCTGATCCTGAACCAACAATAGAGGTGAACTGTATGAGTACAACATTTTAAATTACAGCTCCTTGACAGCCATTTCATTGATCTTTCACTCAGCAGATTGTGCCTGGTAAGTTTCTATACCATTAGCTATCTTGGCTTGCTTAATACTTTCTGACATTTTATCACAGACTGGGGCTACTCTTAGGTTCCCTCCTTATATTGCAACTAAATACCCCTCACCTGATACTTGACCTAATAAAATAAAGATACTCGAATTGTGGAAAATCCATGAACCCAAGCTTGGGTAAAACTTATATAGGAATAATGCTATGGGACACACTGACTCATTGTTACCAGTTATAGTTGAGAAAGAAAAGGCAATAATTCTTGGCTTTGGACAATCTGTGTGGGGCAGAGAATGCTGAATTGCTCAAATGTCAATGAATTTGTAGCTGATTACCACAAGATAGGCAGGGGAAAGGAGGCTAACCAGTGAATAGCTTGAATGTTGTTGGAAGTGATCTCTTTTCAGAAGCCCAGAAAACATCTGACTTTGTTGACATGTAGAGTCCAGGATCAAAAATCAATGGCATTGCTCTATGTTCCCTGCGCATCACAACCAAATGCAAAGTTAATCACTTCTTAAATCTTAATTGAGGAAGAAAGTGAACAACAAGAAACTAAACTCACTCTTTCCACCCTAGCTGACTTGTATGCTCTATGAAATTCAGGTTTCTGTCCAAAGTAGAAAATGTGTGCAGAATATCTGCATCCCAACAAATCTGATCACTTGCAAGAACACCTAAAGATGCTTGAATCGAAATATTTTCTCATCCATCACCCAATAAAATAATGAGCTTGCATGCATATAGATGATAACTAAAAGGACTGAATTCAGGAAAAAAGAGGATAAAAAAACAAACCATCCTGTGTTACAAGAGGATAATCTGAAGCACTGAGGTTTATGAACCAATCCCATTCCTTATTTTCCTTGAGAAGAATGGCACAGGCGTGAAGAGTATTAGCAACCATCGTGGGTCCTCTGTAAGTAACCATATTAGCTTTCGTAATCATGCGAACATTCCCAACTTTTGCAAAAACTGTATCATTTTCCACGCGAGAAGCCAGCTCCAATCTTTCTGCAGCCGGTGCCTCCAAGTCCATATGAACAATGTACAGGTTCAATGGGTGATACAATGCACGGAGCGTCCTCCAGAGCTTCTCCAAATCACCTTTTGATCCAGAGACAAGGTAAGCTAGCCGAGGAATAGGAGGGGCAGCAGGTGGGGGTGCTAATTGTGAAAGCTTTGATTCAAAATAAATAGGCTCTGTTTGGTTTAAAGAGATGCGCAATGGAAGGATGGAGAAGAATGAGTTGATTTTGTGTAATGAAGATATAAGACCCATGTTGAAGGATGTAGCGATGAGGAAGATGAAAATTAGAGAGGTCACAACAAGCGGGAACACCCATTTCTTCTCTGCGTTATGGGTTCCCATTACAAAACCATATTATGTGCTCTGCTCAATTCTGTTAATTAACTGCTGAGCTGACACCTCAAGCTTCTCCCAAAGTATAGATCAAATCCACCGCCAAATTCAGGTCATCGTAGTTGCATTGATCACAGTTTAGTTTACCTGATGCACCAAACCCAGAAAAAGTAAAGGTTAGACCCCATTGGTAAAGGAAGATGAAACCTTTAAGCAGCCACGGAAGATGATGAAACAGAAGAAGTAAAAAAAAAAACAAAAACAAAAATGTAATTCCTAAAAGAACTAACACAAACACTAAGACAGTTGAAGGCTTTCTATGAATGAGCGGATACAAATCCAACTTTTAGGAACAAAGAATAATCCAAACAAACCAAACACTTCAGATACACGACGAAATCTAATTATGGTGGCAAGCATGCAAATCCGAAGGAAATTTTAAACAAATAGAAGAAACCCAAAAATTATAAATCATCAAATTATAACCGTAATTCAATAAATAACGTCAATATTTTTTCACAATAGAACAAAAAAGAATTGAACCCAGAAACAACACAGGAAAGAGAAGAATTAAACAAGAACGATGGAGCCATATTTAATTATTTATGAATCAAACAAGAAACAGTTGAAAAGAAATTCTCTATATACAGAACTTGAGGGTGATGCATGAGGAGTAGGAGAACGCAGTTTGTAGCACGTCCTCGGAGAGAGAGAGAGAGAGAATCAGGACATGTACGAATAGATGTTCTCCTGTCTGTGTCTGTGGTAGAACCTTCACCGCTTCCGCTCTTAATAAATCGATTCCTCCGAGCAAGAAAATATATACAATTGGAGTTTCTTTAACGATTTGATTAAATAAATGGGAACGAGGAACGAAGCCCAATTTGCAGACGTCCCTTGTGCGTTTCTTGCCTTCTCTTTCATCTTCACGTTCTACTTGTTTTTAGTTTATTCGGAGAGAGCACCGGTCTCGGAACTTGATTGACCCAGCGATATCTGTCTACAACTAAATCTGCTTTGATCTTTTAGCATACTACCGGATTTTTATCATCCACACGATCAGTCGACCAACTTATTTTGACACTGATGCTCCAATCCAACGGCTTATAAGAAGTTGCTGTTGTGTATCGTTTGACTGAATTCTTGCTAGTTTGGTCTTGTTGTATGCGCACACGTAAAGGTTATGACTTCACTATTTCGGTAGGGACCATCGGATCTACAGTTTCGTTGACGTACCATACCATCTTGGGTTGTTTTGTTGTGTGTGACTGTGTGTGTCGTCAAGAGAAGTCTAAGAGAGTTGGAACCTTCCACGTGGCAACTTATTTGCTTTCAAAAGGGCCCGAACGGTGGATGTTCATGCCGCGTAGCCTATAGATGTTTAAGATCCTCTCAACAAGGTCGATCCACCATAGAAAGAGCATTTTCGCCTTTCTAAAAGGAGTGGAAACAAGAAAAAAAAACTAGCCACGTGGCCAAGTAATGGATACCTGGTTCGTCAACATACATGTCCCCACTTGTTTGTTAGAATCTGGATCCACACGTGTGCAAGTCCAAAGCTGACATGTACATCGGTACATGCATTTTACCTAAGAGTGCACAACGTTGATTGCAAGAATGAAGGGCGCAAGATCCAAGAGCTTGAATGAAGGGAATACTACTGATAGGCTGAAAGGTCCTATTTGATAACTTGAAGTGGAATACTGATGACACGTGCAGTAATCGTGATTCATACGATTTTTTTTGACACGTGGATGGAGATGAGACAACACACCAAACTCCAAAATCGAAATCGTCTCATCAGCATGGTTTTTAAAAACGAACCGGTGATCGAACCAGTCAAGGGTTTGATTATTTGACCCGAACAGCTGACTTGTTCTGACAAAAAAAATAAAAATTTGAAAAATGGTCAAAACTGTTTGAACGGTTAATCAGTAGATTCAACGTTTGTTGATCAAAATCAACAATTTTGAGGAAAAAAACAGTTTTAGAAGAAAACGAAACCGAATAGGTGACCGATTTCTGATTTTTTCGGTCCAACCATCCGATCCGGTTCAATTTTAAAAACAGTGCTCACCACCACGTGTACACGTTGATGCTTTCCTTGTCAACTTCATTCATCCTCCTCTTATCAATTTTTCTTTTTTTTTTGATCAATATCCTCCTCTTGTCAATTCGCCTCCGTCAATTAGTTATCTGTAATATATATAAAGAATATGGTTGTTTTTATGCAAGTGTATAGCATGGAGAAAGAGCAAATAAGGAAAGATTTGGACCCACCAGGCATCTTGCCATTCACGTGTTGAGATCAGGATAGATTACAGCTCAGCGTTTGATTGGGTGAGGTGGGTCCCTTTGATTTAATGATGTTATCAAGTTTTTAAGACAAAACAGCACAACTACTCAATTCAATCTGGACCGTTTGGTACCATTTTATGAAAACTCCATACATAATGCAGTGCAATAATACATATATCTGATATTTGGCCACAGGGCTTCATTATGATACCCGAAAGACATTATTGATGTCTGAAAAACTTGTGATCAATCAACCTATATTAACCAATCAGGTGATATTTACCAAAATTAATTTATGGATGAATTTTCACTGATCAGAATTCTTTGGGTATCGTGTCTTTTTGGCATCATAAAATTTCCCTTGGCCATAACGGGATCATTTTCTTCAAGAGTTTTCCAAGAGTGTGTATGAGAGAGAGAAGGTTTCCATTATCTTCACAACCAAATGAAAATATTGGTGGAACAGCATAGACATCAAAGCCAACACAGACCCGGTTTAAATTACAAATATACCGTAGGAAACTATGGGGTCCAGCCACTTCCATCTTCTCCAACCCATCCCTTTTTTGACCTTTAGAGCTGACTCTCACTGCCATATTCATGGGGCTTACAATTGGAAATTTGTTTTATTTTTTTTATTGTTAGTTTTTTTTTCATTTTTAATAATAGATCCTTTATCAACAAGTAAGCAAAAAAGAAAAAAGAAAAATAATAAATAAAAAAGCTCTCATATGGTAATTTGTTTATTTATTTGCAACATACAATTTCTAAAATTTGAAATCAAAGACCATAATCTATATTTAATTTATTTATGGTCGTTTGCTTAATATCAAAAACTAATTTTCTTTATTATTATTATTATTATTCATAGATAAAAGAGTTTGTGATAATTACATGCAGACCTGATTGGGGGACCCAATATGAGACCAGAAACACAATATTTACCTAATATCCAGATGTTGTGTTTAAAAAATTAAGGGGTGTTTGGCTACATGATTGGTTTGGTTTATCAAAACAAAAACTATAGCCACATCAGAAAAAATCAATATATTTCCAACCTGCAAGGTAAGTGGCAACCAACCTTAACCTATAGCATTTATTTTATTTTATTTTTTTTAAAGAAAAAAGGTACCTTTATTTTTTTTTCAGTGATGCGATTTTAACTACCATAAGGGCCAAATCCTATACGCTAGACCTAGTCAATGGATTAGTGGTTTAGTTACAAAGTGCATACAGGAATAATCATCGGGACACAACATGGAAAACCTGCCTTTACGTGGTTTGAAACCAACTTGAAGTTGAATGGATTGACAATAACTTTAGATTCAAGCTTAGAGATTCATTGTATTTCTTCTGGGAAGAGTTGAAGTTAGAAATTAAATGGAAGTTAATTAAACAATATTTCAGCTCTTTAGTGAGACTTTATTTATATTTTCTTATTCTATGTTAACAAATGTTTGGCAAGAAATCAGTGGGCTGCAGATATATTTGGCTACTCATAGACCCAATTGACATTATTTTTTTTTGTTCTTTCATCTTCTTCCCTGATACTCTTGAATGTTCCTATCTCTTATCCCTTAAATAAATATACTTCATCTTTATCTTAATGTAGCTGAGGTTTGCCTAAACTTGCTTCACACCCTAAAATTTATAGCGTTTTAGAAGTAAATTAATACTTAAAATCTAAAACTTCCAAATGCAATTGACCTAATAAGCAAAGAATATTAGCCAAGTTGAATGGCAGATAATTCTATCTATATATGCAATGAATGGAACCCAAGATCCAGATCGTACCAAAAAAATTAACTAGTAGTTTGGACTTGGACCCACAAGCCCACAAATTGGACCCAAAATGATCATGCACCCATTGAACACATGAAGCTCATTTGCTTAACAACAATAGATTATAGATGATTTGATTGATTTCTTTTATACTTTTTAGTACACAGAGTACAAATGACGACTAGCACAAGTAATTCATGCTAGGGGCCAATAATAATACAAATGAAGTACTGAAAAATTAGTTCTTTTAGTTTTCTAAACTTCATCTTAAATCGTAATCCTTTCTTTAGCAACATACTCATTAGATCGTGTTGTAAATATAAAACTATCATATCTAGACGATTCCATAAAAAGCACCCAGGTCTATGAAATATTGCATGGTTTGCTTAAAATCGCCTGATTCTATCACAGACCAATGGGTTTTATCAAAACCAGGATCTTGATTTAAACACCAGAATCCTTTCTAGGCCATGATTTAATTTGTCAGGTTCCTTCTGTGTCTTTCCTCCAGGCATGACAACAGCCATATATTGCACCATCTAATGGAGGGTCGTGGTGGGATGAGGTGGCAGATTAAGGGGGTGCGCTTTTGTTTTCAGAATCGCCACATCAGCAAAAAAAAAAACAAAAATATGTTCTTAAACTTTGTTTTTGTTTTCAAAGGGAAAAAACAAGTTGGGTTTGTTTCAAAAAACCAACAAAATATTGGTTTTTGAAACTAAACAAATATTTTAGTATAAAAATTATATAATTTATGGAACAGGATGTTGAATAATCAGATAAAAACATGTTTTTGATTTCAGTTTTGAAAATAGAAAACATAACCACAACCAAGAACATATTCTTAATGTTTTTTTTTTTTATTTTAAGAAAGAATTTAGGTTTTGATTTATTTTTAAAAACCGACAACAAGAAAAAGAATTCACGTTGTAGTAGAATGCCCCTACGATGACGTCTTATTGTTGTTATACCAAGGCCATTCTGGTTGTTATATGTCCTCTTTATTTGTTTGTTTGTATAGCAAGCTAGTAAATATAATCATTATAGAAGAGCATAGATGGAAAACTCAGCTGAGTGGTTCATGGGAGTCAAATATTGGATAGCTAGCCGGTGAGAAACCAGTAGACATTATCAACTCATTTCTTTTATTTATTTGTTTTCAAATCTCACCTTAACCATTTCACTTGCACACGTCTATTGAATTAGCTTTATTGTCTTAGTCAACTTTCTAGTTTCTACAACTCTTGTGAATGGTGTTTGACTCATATAATTCTGGTTGAATACACAACCTTTTATTGGACTACCCACAGTGTCCCAACTAACTCCCACGAAGTAACAATACACACACGAAAGGAATAAAGAAAATTCTATATGACATTGCTATACTTCTATTGTTCATCTCTCTCTCTTTATATATATATAATATATATATATATATAATATATATATATATATATATATATATATATGAAATGTGTACGAAGAAAAGCTCAGTATTTTTTTTTTGTTTTTTTTTAGAAATTACAAAAATGCCACATAAAGACAAATCCCTTTATGTGATTCACTTGTAATTGACCTTATGTTATTCAAAAGTTATATAATTACCACATATAAGATAAACCTCCAACTTGTAATTGCCTTCATAGTATTCAAAAATTATACGATTACCACATATAAGATAAACCTTCCAATTTAATTGACTCTCTTTATAAGGCATTCAAAAATTACAGGAATGCCATATATAAAACACATTTACTCTCTTTATAATAATGCCTCTATGATATTTGAAAATTACAAGAATGCCATACATAATCATTTACTATTATGCCATCCTACAAAATAAAATGTCATCCCTATTCTCTCATGCTTAATTCTCTCTCCTCCTATTCTTTTT